TTGATAACCATTTCATTCATGATTAAATAAATACACGTATTCAAAAAAGTGTATTTTACATAAATAATTTTAGTTTTTCTCATTCAGGGTGATCTAGGCAAGTTTATCTTAAGAAAGAAAAGTAGTAACATTTTCCGATATTTTGATTGCTGCATCTGTTCTATGGTGATTATGTTTTGTTTAATCTAAAAATTTGACCACTTGCTGAAAAAAAATAATTTTAATGAAAATCTTTGAAGATACCAGTAGTACTTTTCCATTATATTAAATAGAAGTGTTTCTCCCACAATGCAATGCACATACAATAGTAACTGGCGTAGTGAAAACGGCAGCTGCATTTGTACTAATTTATCACTGTGAAACTAGAGAAAATTAGAAAATCCGGATTTTCCATAGCTGTCAGCCCTTTCCCTGCTAGTGATTCCAGATCGGCCAAAACTGTCTGTTCGCTCTCTGCCTGTGTGTCCAGAACGACTGAAGCTATCAGTTCTCTCTCTGCCGTACAACTGGAAATCTTCTTGCATGCAATAACAGCCACAGCCTGTAGGGCAGACATCTTGAGTCTGAAACCACTCCAGCATATGGTGGGAATGACCACCATGGCGACAGGACAGACAGAAATTTGAAGAACCTGAAAAAAATTAGTTTTAGCAATTTAATGTCCAAAAAAACAAAAGACTAGATTATGGGATAGAATTATTCTCACAGGAATTTTAAAACAGCATATGTCTACTAGTATTTGTAGTTGATTACAGAATTGCAATTCTCCCAACATATATGCAAATGAATGTTATGCAAATATATATGCAAATGAATTAAAATCTGGTGTCACTAACCTGCATGTATGTGTAATGTGGTAGAGATTTTATCATGTGTTTATCAAAAAATATTTTAACCACTGACATCACAGAATGCTTTGTAAAGTTTTGAATGTTCAGGTAGAAGTGAGTAAGTATATCGCCATATTCCAAAATACAAAACACGATTTATGCACACTTTGCAAATACATGAGTCTGAGGCAAACACTATTCTTGCATTTTTATTTAGTATTTTTTATAAATGTACATTTCTATTCGAATTTGGTGATCATCTCACATATCATGTGCACCATCTTGTAATTTGCATGATTTCTCTAATTCATGCGAGAGCTACATCCCATATCTCCATATCACAATGCTTAAGAAATACATTGATTATTCAAAAATTCACATATGTGAGGATTACCTTTTTGGTATAATTCTGTTTCCCTCCAAAAGTTTGCAACGAATTGTGAAGCTACCATATATGAAATATCATTCCATAATATTACTGTAAAATCTATATTAGAATATATATTTCTTATATATGTTTCTCTAAATCTCTAATTTTAATAAAAAAAAGTGGTTTCTAATACAGATTTTACAGTACATTTATGGAATGATATTTCATATATGGTAGCTTCACTTAGGTGGAAAAATTAATTACCTATGACCAGTATTTTTCCGCCGAATTTTCCAGTGTATCAAACCATACAACATTTGTACAAATTATCACGCACATTTCAAGTTCATTGTCTTGCTTAGAATTGTAAGAACAATCCTTGGATGGCAGTAACTGATTATATTAACATACATCTCACCTTTAACCGCTACATGGCATATTGCACATTGGAAACTATATCTTTTACATTCAACGCAGTGAGCACCTTTGACCTCACGGTGGCAGTGTTGACATAACGTACCAAACTCTGCAATAGAACATGACATCAACATTTAGTGAACATTATCAACATGTTGCACTGAAAGTAGTATTGTCAGAAAAACTTGCGTCCTTATAAACTTAAAGCGAGAGGATCGTCACCTGCGCATGCACGGGAATTGAGTCACAAGCGACGATAACAACACAAGCTAAAACCGCAAAGGCTCATGGGTAGACGCTTGTTTGTAAACAATGACACACTATGGCCATTAACGACTCCCCCGCTTTAAACCCTTGGCTTATACTCAGAGATGTCCTCAATGTCTAAAAATAGATGGGTGGGCTTATACTCAGGGGGAGGAGTTTGGCCAATAATCAAATCTGAAAATTATGGTGTTTGTGAGTTATACTGTTTATCAACTGTCATCACTACAATATATCCCGTCATGTGTTGCCGTTTCAAAATCAGGATCGTGCTAAACACAGGTAAACTAAAACGAATGTTTGATGTTCATTTGATTGTAGTCATCCTGTAAATTCAATTGGAAGGGACCTAATGCATATCCAGCAAACAACTTAGGAATCCGTTGTGCATCTCAGACTAATTAAACGGAAAATGCCTCACATTGAATATTAATAATAATTAGTCCACCTTTGATTGTCAAACAGAGAATTACGCATGTGATTCAGGGAATTGATGACGCCCTGATATGCTGAATCTATGATGAATGTTGGCGGCTAGGAAATTCCGAGACTAAGGCAGAGGGTTTTCAACCCGTCTATTCATAAATATCATAAATATTGTATTGCACACATACTACTTCACAACAATACAG